ACATTATTTGTACATTAAATATGTTTTAATTTCTTTAGAATTAAATAAAAGCCTTAGTAAAAGTTAACAAAATTCTAAATTCATTTATCCAGTAGTCAAGAAGATGTATTAATTTAACAGCTTATTTTGTTATGAGTACCTAAAGGTTCAGTCACAAGCCTTTTATGTACGTTTACAATGGCATCGGATAACGGATATCCTGTCAAATAATAAAGGAGCAAAAAGTTAAAAAAAATGAGAAGTCTTCATCAAAGAAACGTTTCCTCAAAACCAAAGAATGAAATTTCTCATAGTATATTTCCGTGGATTAAGGTACTTTGGTGGATTTTATTGTTTTATTTCATTAAAACTTTCATCCCTTATTAGCCTACTTTAGGGACGATGTTGTTATCACATAGAATACTAGTAACTTTGAAATAGAAATCTAAATATAAAATTTTTACTTTCAAACTTCAAAAATGACAAACTTCTATATATACAATTTTCAATTCTGTTAAGGGTTATTTTTTAAAATTTTTTACTTATTGCTTACATCCGTTACATATGAAACTTTTGTACAAAATCTCATATTCCTAAACCCGATGGTACAGGCCGCGCGTTGGCTGCCACCCAGTGAATGAAAGAATATATTTTTTTTAATAAATAGATTATATTAATTAATCTCTCTCTCTCTCTTTTTACTGTCTGTCTGGAATTATGCCCACCACATGGAAGCATTCTTTTGTAGTGCCAATTTATAAATGTGGAAGTAAACACGACGTCTCTAACTACAGGCCTATATGTAAATTGAGTGTGATAGCTAAACTATTTGACAAAATTATATTTGATTATATTTACCCTTTTTTAAGTTCACGTCTTATTGAACAACAGCATGGTTTCATTAAAAACAAATCTACTGAAACAAATTTGAACGTATTCATCGTGTAACATCTGGCATGGACTGTGGTGGCCAGGTAGATGTCGTGTATACGGACTACTCCAAAGCTTTTGACAAAATTCCTCACTCTTTGCTTATCCGTCGACTCACGGAGGTCGGTATACATGGCGATCTCCTGCGTTGGTTTGCCTCTTATTTACGAGAGCGAAGTCAAGCTGTAACTATAAAAGGATTTTGCTCCTCATTTGTGCCAGTCGCATCAGGCGTTCCTCAAGGTTCGCATCTCGGGCCTCTGCTTTTTAATATCTTCATTAATAAAATTCATTTGATATTTAAACATTCTGAAATTTTGTTATACGCTGACGACTTGAAGATCTTAAGGACTGTCAATAAAAATGACGATTGTCAATTATTACAAAGTGATCTTGATAGGTTGTGCCAATTTTGTAATAGTAATGGTCTTATTCTTAATATTAAAAAATGTAATGTCATAAGTTTTTCACGTAAGACCAATATTGTCAAATACGATTACATCTTGAATAATAATTCAATTAAACGTGTTACTGAGGTGAGAGATTTGGGTGTATATCTTGATCATAAACTTACTTTTTCTAGCCATATAGACCACATTGTTGGTAAGGCACATCGCATGCTAGGCTTTATACTCAGAATAGGAAAAGATTTTCGTAATAATTCTACTTTAATTGTTCTATATAATGCTTATGTCCGTTCTATACTTGAATATGCTTCTTCCGTTTGGAATCCACAGTACAGTAAATATATAAATAGAATTGAAAACATCCAGATTAAATTTAATAAGCATTTATTATATAGATCAAAAAACAATAATCAGGAATTTCCTAATTTAGTCTCCCTATTGGATCGCCGAAGCCTAAAGGATGAACTTTTTCTATTTAAAATTATCAGAAATCATGTGCATTCACCATTTCTTTTAAGTAACATTTGTTTAAGATGTCCTCGACCGTAATCACGTAATTTGTCATTATTTTATCTACCTAGAATAACAACTAATTATGCACGTAATAGCTTTATATACCGTTCTTGCAGATTGCATAATGAAATATTTAATGACATAGATTTATTTTCCCTTTCTTTAAATAAGTTCAAAATTTTAACCAGAAGTGTCTGTTCGTGATTTCCCCGTTTTTTTTTTGTTATATACTTTAATTTTTAATTTTAATAAGCTACCTTAAGAATGTGTAAACAGTGAAGACTTCATTGGTGTATGTAATTTTTTTATTTCTTTTGTTTATAATATGTAACATAATACTGTTTGTCTTCCAAAATAAATAAATAAATAAAATAAAAATAAATAACGTAACATAAGAAAGTTTAGTGTTTCCATATACTTTGTGAAAGTTCAATTTATACTTGAAGTCCAGTTGACACTTATATTTATACTAGCGGCTCACCCTCGCTTCGCTCGGGTTCACCTCTAGAAGAGCACAAACAGATCTATCCCACGGGAACCGTTCATTTTTCCGGGATGAAAAGTAACCTGTTGTTTGACTGGCAATACTATAAGGTATCAACATGGCAAATTTTACGAAATTAGGTTCTAAGTTGCTGTGTTCTAAGCTGTATAAGTTACTATAGTTTTTTAACTATCCCACGGGAACTCTTTAATTTTCCGGGATTAAAAGTAAGATATTGCACGGGAGTATAAGGTACCACCATGCAAAATTTCATTTAAATCTGTCCAATAGATTCGGAGATTAGCCCGTACAAACAGAAAAACAGACAAACAGCTCGCTCGGGTTCGTCCATACCTACGAATATGTTGTATTATCTCTTTAACCATTTGTCCAAATTATATGCAGTAGAAGGGAAAAGTCTTTTGTTTTAAACATTTTAGACGATGAATTTACTTATTTTGATAAGAATTCATAATTGTTGATAATATGACCAATAAACATGACCTACCGATTTAAATTATATTTTTAAGATAAAAAACTACTTTTTGTGACTTAAATATAAAAGTTAGCCATATGCTGTCGCTGACTTTTTTGTAGGCATTATTAAGCTCTACAACTTTTCTCTAGAACATAATCATATATCTCTCATCGTTAAGGCAGCGTTCGTAAAAAACGTTTTCGTTCGACCGTTTTTTCTCCGACTTTCTTTGCAAATCCGACTACCACGAAAAAGCCTTTTCATTATTCGGGTTAATATATAGCCTATGACACTCAGAAAGAACGTGGCTTTTTATTGGTAAAAGAATTTTGTAAATCGGTTCAGTAGATCCAGAGATTACCCCCTACAACGTCACAAACTCACAAACTCACAAACCCACAAACTCACAAGATCACAAACTTTACCTCTTTATAATATTAATATAGACTATATATATTTTAATCTATATATACATATAATAAAATTGTAACTAAGCCGAATCTGTACATTAAATATTTTTTGGAAAATCTTATTGGAAAAAACATTATTATCGATACAGAGGCCAAATCTATAGTTTATAGAATTTTTGTCTGTCTGTCTGTGTGTCTGTTACCACCACGGAAAACCCACTGGAGGGATTTTGATTTTTGGTATGGTGAAAGCAGGTTATCCGGGTCAACATATAGGACACTTTTTACCGCGGGAAAATGTCTCATTTTTGAGCAAAAATACTAAAACTGTAATGTAAGAGTATACTATACTATAAAAACCTAAGAATTTGGTTTTTGGTCATCTGAACGCGGGCGGAGCCGCGGAAAATGCTAGTTTATATAAATAAGTACATACACATACGTAACTGAAGGATATAATAATATATTCTTAAATATTGAGATTTGGTTCGGCAGATGCCGAGTCTCGTAGCGCGTAGCTTTATTCGTAACCTATCGTAGTTACGTAGCTGCACAGCGCTATCGGCTTACTGGGACGGCAAAATAAACTCCAATAGAGCTATTCTATCGTTGTATCTCTAGATATTGTGTTTACAGATCAAACAAATAAGCTCTAGCCGTCATTAGAGTACCTATAAAAAAGCTTTTTTATCAAGTAATAGTTTTAATCAGTTGTTCCATTTTGGGACTAATTAATATATCAACGTTTTTGTGAGGTACATATGCATACATATATACATGACTAGCGACTTAACCTCGCTTCGTCCGGGTGCATCCCTAGGTACGTTTTATTTAGCGGAACCCTAATTCTTTATCAAAAATAAAAGTATAGTATATACTCCTTATAACATCAGCTACCAGTGAGAGTCCCGTCAAATCTATTGTTTGTCGTTTGCCGTTTCGAAGATTAGCCGGCACAAACAGACAGACAAACTAAAATGTTAAAAATTGTGTTTTTTAAGTACCGTATATAATTTCGTAAACATTTAGTAAAATGCTATTATTTCGATATTAAAAACGGACACTTCAATTTTATTTATATGTATAGATTAATGAAAATTCTATATTATTTATAGGTATAAGAAAAAGAAAAAGAATTTTAGGATCATATTAAAATATGTTACTGCTAAAGTCTACGAAGGGGCTTATGGAGAATATTATGTGTCTTTGTATTTAAAAATATGTAATAAAATAACGAGGCTCTGCTCTTTTTTTCTATTATTTATTGAGTATTCTTTTGATATTTTTAATTTTTTATTGTAACTATTTTTAGCATAAAGTATATATTTTGTAATGGTTTAAGGCACGTATGGCAAAAATTAGCTTTGTTGACTTTTATTAAACCTTTTTATATTTCTTTCTGTCTCATTTAAGTCAGTTGAGTGGATCCAAAGAAACCACTGTTCAATACTTTTAGCGAGGATTAAATTTGCATCCGAACCCGACGACAAAAGCTAAATAAATAAATATGTTGCGACATTAACACACAGCTATCTAGTTCCATGGCAAGCTACGAGATTTGTGGTATGGATACCATAGTTGATACACTACACATATATAACTTTAAATACATACACATTATAAATATAAGCATCCATGACTGGAGTACAAACATTCGTGTTCATCACGCAATTGCCCCCAGCGGGACTCGAACCCGCCACTGCTGGCACAGCAAGTAGGGTCACTACAAACTGAGCCAAACGTGCCGTAAGCCATATAGCATAACAATTTGAATATCACAATCAAGTGATCGGCTGTTAATGGTGAGTTACAATTTTGCTGGTTAATTTATCTGACTGTATTGCAGTTTATTTATTGAACGAATTTCGTTGGATACGAAACGCTTTTGGTTTTTTTAACCGAAATAAATTCCAATATGGAAGTTCCGGCAGCACTTTACAAATATATAAAGCCTGTATACATGTACCGTGTATATGGGCAGTACATAATACTTGAATTTCCTTAATACTTTCTTAGATTTACGCGAATGTTTGACATTATTAAATAAAATAAAACTATCTTTTCGGATTATTTCGCGGATTTATTTTGATTTTTGGTTCCCGACGTTTCGAATGCTTTACAGCATCCATGGTCACGGGAGAGACTGAGGTGTTACATGTCTTAAAGATATAGTTGTTACAGACAGCCTACCCACAATTAACAAATTGAAAATTGCACCAATTACATTACAATATTTTTAACTTTAAACATTTTTTATAATTTTAATAATAATTGAATATGGAAAATTATTTATTTAATTTTTGCTATTATTTTTATAATTATTACAATTTTAAAAAATCTTAATTAGTAATCTATATTTAGTGTTGCCATTATTATATTTATAACCATAAATAAAAATATAAAAAATATAGTATTAATTATTAAAGCCATATAATTGTTCTATGTGTAATTTAAAAAGTTAAAATTAATTACGGATAATCATTTTAATTTAGTTTGCTATTATTTAAAAACAACTTACTAAGCAACACTATTAATATATACTTTTACAAATGAAAAATATTAATCTGATAAGCTGTCATTTTGATCTACACAGTATGAACTTACTACATCTGCCTGTCTGTTATGTTTATATTTATTATTTGATTTTATTATATTAATAACAGGATCCCATGACGATGGTAGTACCCAGCCATCTTCCCTATTGAACGGTGAATCTCACCACCATCCTTCACAGTTAGCTACCGTGGGAAAATCTCTGTTTCAGAGAGCGCGCGGGATCTGTGACGAGCAACACCTGGCCGGAGAACTGCAACATGTCAAGCAAGTTCTGCGTGACAACAAGCTGCAAGTGCCGCGCCTGCGTCACAGTGACCGAGTGAAACCAGCCACAGTCGAGCGCGTCCCTGCAGTCTTGCCATACATGAAAGGAGTCACTGACAAGATTGGCTACATTCTAAAGCGAGCTTCAATTAAAACTTACTTCAAGCCGCCAAAGAAAATTAGTCAGTTCTTACCACCTGTCAAGTGCCACATCCCTCTACAAGATGCAGGAGTCTACAAGCTTGATTGTGATTGTGGGCTCTCTTACATTGGACAAACAAAGCGATCCATTAGAACCCGGGTCAAAGAACACATAGCTGATGTGAAGCACCGTCGCAATACAACATCTGCTGTCTGCAAACATAGCCAGGACCGCCCAAGCCATTATATTCGTTTCGATAGACCTCAAATCCTGGCGAAAGAAAACCGATATCGCCCTAGAATGATTCGAGAAGCCATAGAAATTAAAAAACATCCAAATTTCAATAGGGAAGATGGCTGGGTACTACCATCGTCATGGGATCCTGTTATTAATATAATAAAATCAAATAATAAATATAAACATAACAGACAGGCAGATGTAGTAAGTTCATACTGTGTAGATCAAAATGACAGCTTATCAGATTAATATTTTTCATTTGTAAAAGTATATATTAATAGTGTTGCTTAGTAAGTTGTTTTTAAATAATAGCAAACTAAATTAAAATGATTATCCGTAATTAATTTTAACTTTTTAAATTACACATAGAACAATTATATGGCTTTAATAATTAATACTATATTTTTTATATTTTTATTTATGGTTATAAATATAATAATGGCAACACTAAATATAGATTACTAATTAAGATTTTTTAAAATTGTAATAATTATAAAAATAATAGCAAAAATTAAATAAATAATTTTCCATATTCAATTATTATTAAAATTATAAAAAATGTTTAAAGTTAAAAATATTGTAATGTAATTGGTGCAATTTTCAATTTGTTAATTGTGGGTAGGCTGTCTGTAACAACTATATCTTTAAGACATGTAACACCTCAGTCTCTCCCGTGACCATGGATGCTGTAAAGCATTCGAAACGTCGGGAACCAAAAATCAAAATAAATCCGCGAAATAATCCGAAAAGATAGTTTTATTTTATTGAATTTCCTTTTTAATTAATCGATTCGTGTACGGCTTTTGTAGATACGGTCTGTTGATAAATTATACGTTCATTATTATGCATTATTTAATAATTTAATCATAATGTTTATTCAATTATTACGTATTTATATTATTATTTTTCTAATTTCTATAACTCGGAAGATTTTCTTCCAGAGAATAAGGCGATTAAGAACTTTTTTCGTAGACATAAACTTAAAATCACTGGACCATAATATTTTTTGCTGTAGTTATTTAATAAATCCTATTTTTTAATTTTTAAAGTGAAGTTCGATTTTTAAATTGAAGTTCTACGCGAATTTTGCTCCTATAACTTCTTAACGTTTCGATTAAGATTTAATTTAAATTGTATAATGTTGAGAACATAATTGAAAATATTTATCAATTTTGCATCATATTTATGTTTTAAATAAACTTTTAATATCCTGTTTTCATCTGAATATATACGCGTAGAGTGTTTGAAACTTAATAAAATTAATATAGTTAAGTAAACCAAATGAAAAACATAATATATAAAATGACACGTATTCATCTATACTTATTATAAAAATAAGTCCCCCGACCGCGTCTTTCTGTCCTCCTGTCTGTCCTCCTGTCTGTCTGTACGCGATAAACTCGAAAACTACTGAACGGATTTTTATACGGTTTTCAACAATAGAAAGAGTAATTCTTGAGGAAGGTTTAGGTATATAATTTATTATGCTTTTATGTAAATTAGCTGAAATACGGCGACAAATGTTGAAGAGGTCGCAAAAAATCTCGCCAAATGGGAACTTTCCACGCGAACGCCGCGTAAACTAGCAAAGATACAGTTAAGTAATGTACTAGAGAATTCAAAATCTATAAAAATGCTACAAAAAAGTCCGCGATAGCATATCTCTATCTCTTACGGTTGACTTACAATAACCACTTTTATGTTAACATTTTTAATTAAAAACATTACGTTATTTTCAAAGTTATTTTCTTTAGTTCGGTATTAATCCTTATCCAAATGAATATTTTAGTTAGCTTAGTCATTTAATGCAGATTAAAATTGCTCTTTACACTAAATCAATCAGATGAATAGTTTTTGAGATATCGTTGTTAGAAGTAATTAGTAGCGAAACATTTTTAATGCTTGGCGAGCATTGAGATGCCTACGGCGAGTCCATCCCCTCTGCCCCGCATCGCTCGACCGCCTGCTCAAGCTATATAAACCGGGCGATGTAGCCGCGATCCTAGGATACTTTTTACCGCGGGAAAATATCTTATTTCTGAGGAAAAATACAAAAACTGCAATGTAAGAGTATACTAATATGTAACACCTAAGAATTTAGTTTTTGGTCATCTGAACGCGGGCGGAGCCGCGGGCAATGCTAGTATTACAATAAGAAAATATATGTGTAATGTTGGAACAATATTGTGTAATACTAAAATCTCAGTTCAATATATTATATTTTCGCAATATTTCGTTTACGTGAAGTGAAAACGGCAGGAGAATTGACAGCTGACACGAATTTGCGTTACGAATGAATTGTACTTCTAATAGATATAACAAAATACTGAACGATTTAATTATGTTGTTTATTATTTTGTAATTGTACACTTGTTGTACTACAATATGTGGTTTCCACATATGCCTTGATAAATACTGTTTAAGCGTTATAATGAGATGAGTAAATATTTACTTTAAGTAATTTTACGTAATGAAATATTGGTACAAATTTCGTTAGGTTGAAGAAAACAGCTTTATTAATCATCCAAGAATGAATTTGTGTATCAGTATATACCATCAAAATAGGACCTTATACTTTATTGTCGAAGTCCCTTAAGTGCGTCAGTTTATTGGAAATACAACTTATATGTCATGTAAGTATATTCTTTGTTTAGCTGCTTATGTTGTGTTGTGTTGTATGTCTTGGTTAAAAACTAAAATAAAATATTTATGCTTGCACAATATTTAGTTCATTGATAGTTTTTTTTATAGATTTTATAGTTGTTTTCAAGTTATCATAACTTATTTAGGCTACGTGAATAGATTTTACGGAATGTGCACAGATCGTGGTTAACAAATATCTACCGATAGGTTACTGTCTAATTGTTTTGCTATATATTTATACTTATTTATTAGTATTTATGTATATTCATATACTTATATTTTCAATATTCTCCCCCTGCATGTGACACCCTTACGTGGAACACGTAACAAAGTTTCCCCGAAATTCAATTTGCTCACCTCCAAACAGCATATTTTCTCTAAAATTTTGCGCGAACGTTAACGAAAGGCGAAGGTGCGATATAGTCAATAAATACACGATATGAACCCAATAAATATCGTTTGATAATCGATTCCCAGCTGAGGCGATATGTGCAAGGTATCGATGGAACGAGTGTAATAAATAGTGATGGATGCGCGGTCCGGTGTACACGTCGACTGTACAACGTACGCCGCAGCCGTCGTAAATTTGAAATGACGCCCTGTTATTGGGAAGCGACCGCTAAACATAAATTTCATTATCTGTCCGCGACATCAGCTGTTTACATGTTCGCGTACTGTTATTAAAATTTAAGTAAAATAACATTTTCTTTTTACCGTTAATACGGACGTAATTACGGAGGATACAGTAAATGAGAAGCGTGGGATCAGGTAATAAATTGATAAAAATCACCCATCTGAAAAAACATAATGCCCAAAAATGTAACTCATAAATCGAAAAGAAATATTTCACGGTCCGGTATTCGGAGCATTGCGTTCAACTACAGAACGAATAGTAGAAAGGAAAGGTATAAAAGCTTCACCCTTTCTAAAAACACGTAAATAGAAGAGTGGAGCGTTCGTTTGGTTCGGTTCGAATGGCGGCAGCGCACACACGCGCGAGACGCGTCTCACATACGGGGAATAAACGATGTGAAATGGGAAAAAAGTTAAATATGTATGAGTGCGGGTAAATATATAAATCGGTATATAGTGGCGTTTATATATAAAATAGGCAGGAGAGTGCGGGCGGTTGGCGTTGGGCTCAGTCGCGCGCGATCCGCCCAGCCTCTGCCTCGCATTGTCCGCAGCCTCCGCCGCGCTCTGACGTCTACGAGCTACTTTCCTACTCCGACTTTATTTTCCGAAACTGTGTCCCATATTCACTTATGATTACTTTACAAACTTTTTTGAACTCTAAGATATAGTTGTGCATCTGTGCTATGACTTCTACAGCCGCTATCGTTCTTTGACACAACTTGCGGAAAGTTGGTGAGTGACAAAACTTTCTCAAACTAATTAATGTGTTGTTAAACTGCTACAAACAAATGACAAAACATTGGTTTGGCATCTGTCATGTTTGATCATATTATTTTTATATTCATGCTTGCAATGTCGTGCAAGTCTTTTAGGAAAAGATTAAATTATATAATAATTATAGTTATTACTTTGGATATTTAAATAAATTATTTTTATTTATCATAAAATATTTTTATGATAATAAATTATTATTTTAAGTGTAGGGTGAAGTAAATTGGTGATTTTTGCTATGTGTAGTAGTCGTATTATCTCCAGAAACTATTCATAAATACAGTGTTTAAATTAAAATTTATACAATGTGAAAAATAAAAAAATATATAAATGCGAGAAGTTTTTATTGGTAACTATTTTACATTGTTTCTAGCATAAAAAATTCTTAGTTATTTATGTACAGCAAGCTATTTTAATAGCTGTGTTATTAATCTTATTAGAAACAACTCTATATAAAAATTCTAATTCTAATATATCTTGTAATATCGAATCTGCGAGCTCCGACTAAGAAGGCTGCAACGGCTGTTAAAAATTCTAAACTTTTGCACAACAAGGCAAAATGAAGTTGTAAAATAAGTTTATGTAGAGTTTGTAATATGATAGTTAGAATACAAAGTTTGTGAGATTATATAATTTATAGAAGTTATATCATACATTATATTTTATTTTATAAGATGGCTAAATGAATTAAATTAAAGATATAATTATATTATAAAGAGGTAAAGTTTGTGAAATGTGAGTTTGTGACGTTGTAGGGAGTAATCTCTGGATCTACTGAATCGATTTAGATGAAATTTGGTAAGAAGATAGCTCGAGACTCTGGAAAGGACATAAAATACTTTTTATCTCGGAAATCATCTTTTAAATGGGTGAAAATGGGGATGAAAGTTTGTCTAGGGAATCAAGCTAGGGACGAACCCAAGCGAAGCGAGGGTAAGCCGCTAGTGTAATATAAATGTACATGATTATAATGATGAATATATTTATAGATTTTTAAATGACTAAAAGTATTATAATATTTTCTTAGATTTACGCAAATATTTGATATTTTAAATAAAAAATCTCCGCCCTGAATATGATTACTGTTAAGCACTTCGAAACGCCGGGAACCAATGGTCGAAATCTGTAAAAAATCCGAAAAGATTTTTATAGAAATTTATTTAAAAATAGAGTTTTATTTAAAATGACTAAAGTACTCTTAATGAATATTTATATCTTAATAAACCATTCTATAAATGTATCAAAACTTTCCAGACTGAAGTTTGCATCGCTTGATACAAAAATATCGAATTGAAGAGATCTTTTAAAAGTGAGAAAAATAATTTTAAGGTTTATGTTAAAGTACCTGGGCGACCGAGCTTCGTTTGAAATTTTTGGTCAAAAGTACAACTTTCTTTTTTTTTTAAACTAAAAACTTAAATAAATACAAAAACAAAACAAAACAAAAGGAAAAACTTTGTATCCGACCGGGATTCAACCCCGGTAACCTGTGATTGTCAATTTTGCGCCTTGGCCGCTTGACCACGGTGCTTATGCCCGTGCGTGCGAAATTACACGGAAATACGCGTTTTCCCAGACATAAGTCTAATCTAGATCGATTTTTTGCTCCCGAAAACCCTCACATACCAAATTTCAGCGAAATCGCTAGAGCCGTTTCCGAGATCGCCCCGCCGGTATAAACAAATAAACAAGAGTTGCTCGCTAAAATATATATTTAGATTTGTGTTTTCAATTGTATGAATAATATTTTTTTGGTAACGTTTTGCACTTTATTTTTCTTTAAATAGTGCATATTTGATACTCATCTTTCTTTGATAAATTTCAAAAAGGACTCAATTTGTCTATTTTCTATATCTCTATTTTTTTAATTATTTTGTATTATATTATTTTAGGCTATAAATATAATTATATAATTGAAAAAAAAACCCTAATCAAAAAGTAACGTTTTTTAGTATTAAAAAGCTCTATGAAGTCTAAGAATAAAAAAGTGCAATGAAAGGCAAGTAACTTCTTAGTATTTACTGATTGGTTGATGTACAATGGGTATTTATGACTCAGAAAAGTATATATGTACTATATACAAATACTTTATGTGTCTATCGAAAATATAAGAAAATATTATCAGAGAATTTATTTGTTGTTATTCTTAAGCGACGTGTATGAAAGCTATTAAACATTTTGAAAACTGATATTAAATAAATCCTATATTATTTTTAATAACCAATCAAACAGTCCGTTATTTTCCATGTCTATTCATTTATTAACATATTATATACTGTTACATTTGTAAATAAGAAGTTTAACTAAAATTTCCACAGTTTAAAGTCTTGTTATATAAAAAGATATAATTTCTCGCGTAATATGTATAATGGTGCAATTTGTTTCGCCGAGCGCAATTTTCGCCTGACAGTTAAATTAGTCCAAAGTCCGCAAATAAATGAAACGTCGGTAGTCGTGAATAATAGGCCCGATGCTCGTTTCATAAGAGCCATTGTGAGCGACCACTTTACTTGATCGAATACTGCTTTTTAAAGAATGAAGAATCGCTGAGCTGCCCACTAACTATTATGCAACTATAGTAGATATTTTTTGCTTGAAATGAAAAGTATTCAACGTAAATTTCATGAAGCGCATTGTGTGATATACCTCTTTTCAGTTTCTTGTAATAATTATGATACCATAACCGTCTTACGTCAGCTTTTATAACGTTGGCTCCGTTTTTTAAATCTTTTGGTGTGAAGATAGCTAGATATTTTTTCACTTCCTCTATACTCTCTGGGGTATTTAAATCAATATAAAATAAAACTTAGAGCGCCTGAGGCTCATCCATTCTCTATCCTCTGTAAAATATGTATTATACATTAAAATCAATTTGAATTGGATAACTCTTTGTATATGTATCTACTACCTTTTACCACTTTATTTGTATTACATTTAGAAGCATGAGTTTATACATTATTTTAATTTTTTTTCTTACATTGGCTTGTTTGGATCTAAGAAAAAAGAGAACAAGAAGATAATGATTAAATTAATTATGGCCATTTATCCTTCTTTTGTAAGTTCCTATTCAATTTTTGGAATAAGCTAAGCGGAAGCGAGGCGTATAAATGCCAGATCACTGGAAATCACTATATGTAAGTAAAAAAGTTATTGAATTAAATATTTACTATTGTAGATTTCATACATGGGTTAATCATATATTTTGGAAAAATAAATAATTAAATCCATTCAACGTGTTTTAACTATAAAGTAAAACGTGTAGTTAACTTTAAGTAAAATATGTTAAAATCTTGTAAGAAAACAAGTATACTTTAAACGAGGTTACTATAAAGACGGCGATCACAATAGACCAGAAATGGTCGCAGTGATATAAAAAAGCCGCCAAACAGAAATAAAAAAAAAATAATACTATAAAGACGGAACTTATTAATTAGTTTTACTTTATTATTTAATAGTTTTTCTGGAGAGCAGGGTATAACTTTCTGAACGGTAGATTTATATAC